CTGCCTGTGGCAGGGGGTTGGAACTGTGTGAGCTTTAAGGTCCCTTCCAACCCAAACCATTCTGTGATTCTGTGATTACTATAAAGAATATTTCCATTTTGCAGTAAATATACTTTTTCCTTTTTCTCAGTCTTGAGGAATGAGGCTTGTAGAGCCCCTCTTGTGAAATCTGTGTGATTTAGCTACTGTTGTAGTATATAATACATATCTGTGTAACTCTACACATCAACTGTTAGACTTGCCAAACATGATTTATAATGTGATTTGCGATAGTCTCTTTTCCATGTAAAACAAAATGCTTGGTGAAACTTGCAGCCAGAGATGTGGGTTGATAAAATTCAGAATAATTTCAATCATCTGGTATGGGCAGCTCAGACAGTTTCTGTCAACCAGACCTTGTCTTTGGAAACGTGATGAAGTCAGTGGTAGCTTTGCCTTCGATTTCAGATTAGAAAGATTAAGCTGTGAATGTGGGTGTAGGAAAAAATCAGAAGGTGAGGCCCAGCCAAAGTTTTGACTGCCGTGGATTGCTTTGCTGCTGCTCTTCTCTGGCCGGCATCCCAGAGGAGAAGCTTTGAAGGCTGTGTTTATGTATGTGCCAGCTGGAACAAATAACAGTCCTAGGGCAGGATTTCTTCATGGTACATAAAGGGGTTTTAGTTTTTAATGAAGAGATGCAGAACACTGGTGGAGTTTTGTGTGTTAGGTGGGCCAGGCAAAGTTTGTGACATTTGACATGTTCTTGGACTTGCATGTAGGACTTTCCTACAGCGGAGGAGCCTGATGCCTCAGAGAAAGCCCCAAAGATGTTTCTTAGGATAGGTGCGGATGTACCTTCTGCTGTTTGCAGTGGTGGCTTTTTAAAGTGATCCTGCTTGTGTCTGTGCTGAATAAGGGAGGCAAGAGTGGCCTCACAGGGTTTGAGGTACAGACAAGATGTAAAGATTATTAGGAAAATTGAAGGCTAGCAGTGGTTAGGAATTCAACTTCAATAGCATCAACATTCTCTTTTGTACAGAAAAATCTAGAAATATATAACTGATGAACCTCTTTAAAATATGACAGTTGAGATGGACTTTCTTTTTAACAAGGTTTCTACAAGCTATTCTTTAATGTTAGCTATGTGAGATCTGCAGGAGCAATAGAAATATTGAAGGGAACAACAAAAGCAGGAAATTACTGGCTTTTTTTTTTTTTTTTTTACCTAATGGGCTTCCTTCTAATCTTTTAACAGATTTGATTTGTCTGACAGAGATTCCTTCTTTGACAGCAAAACGAGGAGCACTATAGTAAGTACCATATATAAATAATGTATGGGGCATATTGCCTTAGTTGTGGTATTTATAACCCCTTTGCCAGCTTTAGGGTCTTGCTACTTCTTCAGTGCTAGTTCAGGACTTCTTCTTTCATAATTAAACAAGAAATCAAGCCTAGGACAGGAATACAATATCACAAACTACATTGCAGTGCTTTCTTGTGACTTACAGAACATAAAATGGAGTGGGGAAGAAGGTGTAGCCTCTTTTATAGCCACTGAGGTTATAAAAAAAAAAAACCACCACAGCTTTTGTTTGTAGCTTTCTTTTGTATGTCCAGATATATGTTAAAACCCCTTGTAAGTACAAGAAACAAAAGGGAGCACATGAAGAGTTAAAATTCATGGCAACAGACTGAAAAAGACGGCAAGACAAAAAGGCACCATAGGAGAAGAGGGTGAGCAAGACTAACTGACACAAAAGGAGCTGATAGCAGAGGCTGGGAGGAAAAGGAAAGGTGGGGGTTTTGTAAACCAGTCAAGGAACACTGGGCATATAACAATAATACTGGCAGTATGTTGCTTTGTTTGAAACCCGTGTAAGTCACCCAGTAATAGAAGATATGTTGAATGTTTCCCAAGCATCATTTTATCCTTTGTGTTCTTCATTCTTTAAAGTTCTGTCCTGCCTTTCTCAGGTATTTTTAAACCACAGTGCAAATATTGACCCTTCCACCCACTGCAAAATGAACAGGAATCTAATCACTACCTGTGGGTCTTTGATGAATAGAAACTAAGCCAAAGACTTTTCACTTATTTAAAATAAAAATATACATTACATAACTGGAAATCTCTGTGACAGCCCTTGAACTCACTGGAGCTCCAAGATGATGACAGACAGACGAGCTGGGGCTTGCCCTGCATGCCGTCACTCGTTTCTTTCCTTCTGGGAATTGGGTGGCAGTCGAGTTTGTGCATGGATTAGTGGCCATTCCAAAGGAAACTGGTCCTGATTCCTCAGGCGGGCCATGCAATGGGCAACAGGTACCTTTGAGATTTCCTCCTCGTGCCCTCTCCCGTGCCAGCCTCATGCTGGCACAGTGCTTGCCTAAAAGGATTGCTGCACAGGAGTGGCTGGAAGCTTCAGCGCTCAGGCAGCAAGCTGAGATGTGCAAAGGTTGTTTAACAATAAATGCAATAAATCCTAAAATAAATACATCTGTTTTGCCACTGAGGTTGTGCAAGCATAGAAGTTTTAGAGGTCAGCCTGTGTTAGTCCAGTTTCTGATAAACAGCTGCATGCTGCGGACGTGTTAGAAGCTTGAAGCTCCACTGAGATCCTTGGGTTGAAGCCAGCTTGTGCCATCGGAGATGACGGAAGAGCTGGCTCAGCACACCACCTGGTCCTGATATAAGAGGGCTTTTGATCTGTGATCGATGTCTACCATGAACAAAACCAGCATTTCTGATATGTGACTGGTTAGATGTTTCCCTGTTTCCTCCAATCAATTATGTTGGTAGCTGGTTATTTGGTTAAGCATTTTTCTCTTGCATGAAAATCTTTAAGCCCTGCTCTCCTGAATACCATGACTTTTATTAAAGAATGATGACTTCATCGACATCTTGGTTTTGCCAATATTTGAGCTGTACACAAAAAGATTGTGCTTTTCACTGGCAGTAGCTTAAGTAACCCTTTCCTTTCTTTTATTTTACTTCTATAGGTTTATGAAATATTGAAAAGAACAACATGTACCAAAGCAAAATATAGCATGGGTAAGGAACTTTATTTAGCTCTAAGATCGATATCATTTTCAGGTATTGAAAATAATTGCAAACTGTGGAGTTTAGGTTTTTCCCCTGCTCTCTAATTTGATGTATGTGGATATAATCGTTTTATTTGGAACTTTTATTTAATTAATGTAGCCATTTGGAATTTTTTCAAATGTGAAGTTATAGATTCAACTCTAAATTAAATGGTGAGCATGTAGGCCCTGCAGATGTTAGGTCCTTTGCAGCAGGACTGGATGGTGATATATACCTGCTCTGCATTGGTTCGGTTTTACACTCACTGATGTGGATGAGGATATTACCATGAATTTCAATAACTGTAGTGAAGGTCCATGTCTTGGTCCATTCCCTTTAAGTAGGAAACTCACATTTTTGTCATGGGATGGCTTTTCAATGACTTGAGTGGAATGGCCTTAATTGATGACTGCCTCAAATGCTGTCTTAAATGGAACTGAGATGACCCAGGTTGAACAGCCAAGGACTAAAGCATGGACTGAAAGTTGGCTCATCTCTTAGCCTTTAGAATAGTTATTGCAAGTCAGTGGGTGTGAAGTTTGTACTGCCACGGCCAGTCTTTTTTAGGATTTCAGCCTTAGGGCTTGGCTGTAAAAACTAAATTCATAATGCAGGTAAATATGAATTGCAAATCAAGTCACCTTAAAGATTTGTTGGTACTTAGATACTTGATTTTATGTGTATCACATTATATAGGTATATATTTGACTGTGGGAACAAAGTTAATAAATAGTTAACGGTAAACCAAATCATAGAAGGTAGAGGCTGAATTCCTTCAGATCCAAGCTTCTTACCAATAGAAACAAATTTGTAAGAGGGAAGTGCATGTGAGAAAATGTTTGATAACTGTTGGAATCTATTATGGTACTTATTTGCCTACAAGCAGCTAAATAAAACAATAGGAACTTGAATTACAGGTAGTTCTGTTCAATATTGACCCATGAGCTGCTTAGAAATACATCAAATAATAGAAGAATAATTATGCCAGAAATTATTTCCATGCTTTGACTTTTCTGTTGAAGTAACAACATACAATGTACGATTGTTGAATCCCTATATACACTAAATTTTGGTGTTCAGCCAGTGTTAACAGAAGAACTGTTTCCCTGTACCATGTGAAATCCAAATTAATCTGTGACTTTCAGGACCTTTCTTGAGTCTGGTGCTGGATCATTTTCATTGGAAATTACATATTTGCACTCTTGAAAGGGGAAAGTCTTACAGCTCAGTTTGAATTCTTGCCTTGGAGTTGGTTAACTTGATTTATTTATTTTTATCTTTTTTTTTTTTTTTGCATGTGTCCGGAAATGGGAAACACATTAGAGATTAGTTTAATAGGGTAGAGGCTAAAGGAAGGTAAGGTGTTAGGATTCCTGAATTGTTCTGAGATTAGCAAGGCCACACAGTATACCTAGTAAAAGGTCATTAGGCCAGCCCATCCATGGGTACACTTAGCCTAACTCAATCAGAGCCTTTGTGTTCCAGCGCTGGAATGCTGGGTTACAACCCAGCAAAGGCAGTGAACAGATTTGAGTAAACACAGATAATGCTGCAACATTTCTGCCCAGCAGGAAAAAGGCATCTGCCCAGTGAACACTGTAGTCTTTGTTATTTGGTATGAAAATGTGTGAAAATGTCAATGTGCCTTCATTGTTAAATGCTGAGATGTAGAAGGGTACCACGTAGCTTTTGGTCTCACAGCCCTACTAGTTGTTTCTGCAGATATGTGGAGACATTTACAGACAATTCGTAGTACTGTTATAATCTTAAATACGGCTTTGAAAATTGATGATACTGCAAGATACTGAGCACTCCTGGAGCAGTTCCTCCAGCAGGTGATTAGTATCTCAAAAATGGTCATGAACTTGAAAAATTCTCATTTCAAGAACAATTAAAAAAGTCTCAGTGAATCCACTGTTCAGTGAGCTGTTTCCTGGTTCATAGTCACTGTTCCTCCAAATCCAGTCCTACACTCTTAGCGATGAACTCATGGGCAACATGGAGCACACTGTAGTACATCCTTTTCCTTTCATTTTTCTAAGTCCTTTTGAGTTCTCCAAGATGCCAGATATATACATATATTTCATTTGGCATTAATCTGCTTAGGCTTGCACAAGGACAAGTATAGAATCATAAAATCCCAGACTAGTTTTGGATTGGAAGGGACCTTAAAGCTCATACAGTTCCAATCCCCTGCCATGGGCAGGGACACCTTCCACTAGACCACATTGCTCCAAGCCCCATCCAACCTGGCCTTGAACACTGCCAGGGATGGGGCAGCCACAGCTTCTCTGGGCAACCTGTGCCAGTACCTCACCAGAAGAACAACTTCTGCCTAATGTCTAGATTGAGTATTTGACTTAGCTCTGATTCGGCACCCAAGACTGATTTGTTAAATCCCCAAATATATCTTCACAGATAACATGACAGCTTCAGATGTGGGTAATACACCTTAATTGGAAGTAGCTCTATTAATGCCAGCAGCTGCAGTAAGAACATCGGAGAAGTAATGTGGTATATTACGTTTCATTACTTCTCTGATGTTCTCACTTTGAGAACATCACTTTGAGCCCTCAAAGGTCTAAGTCTAGCTAAGTGACCTCTGAGAGCCGCTCGCTGTTGTGCTCCTCCAAACTTACACTTTAAGACCTCCCAAGCCACACGTACTCTGGCCCCAAGTTAAGAAGTGATACGACAGATGGGAAGGCAGGACTCCTCCAAGTCCCTTCTGCCACATACATTTTATAGATGAAGCATTAATTGCTTTCAGCCTCATGCATGTCACTAATAAACGGATGTGTAAACAGGGAAAGGAGAGGGAAGAAAGAAGGAAACTACCCTTTTAAATAAAAGACGAAAATGTGGTAAATATGGTAAGTATTACGCCAAGGTCTTTGCAAAGGCTTTCACTACACTTT